CTATGTTCTCTCCGTGCATGCGTGTGTTTTCTCCGGGTGCTCCGGTTTCCTCCCACAGACCAAAAGCATGCATGTTAGGCTGATTGGTAACTCTAAATTGTCCCTAGGTGTGAGTGAGAGAGTGAATGGTTGTTTGTCTCGTTTGTCTCTATGTGGCCCTGTGATGGACTTGCGACCCGTCCAGGGTGGTGTACACAGTGATTGCAGGACATGGGCACCGGCGACCCCCGTGACCCAAAATGGAATAAGCGGGTAAAGATAATGGATGGATGGATGGATGGATGGATGGATTTTGTTTATTTGTTTTTAGCAAGTTGAATCAGTTCTTCTCATCCTGAACATTTCATTGCATCGTTGACCTTGTGCTAACCTGCATTTGACAAATAATAAACAACATAAACAACTGATTAACATTTGGAGTCAAGACAATTTAAGATGCTTGACACATCAATCTTTGCAAACACAAACATTGCAATAAATTAGTAAAATTATCACTATGGAGCTAAAGTTTGGTGTGTTAGTATTATAGAGTCATCTGTGCCATCAGAACCAATAAGATCGTACAGTGCTGTGTGAGATAGTTCATTTATAAGATCTGATCAAAAGCTTTCAACTCAATTTCTTCTCATCATCAGATGATCTTAGTTTAACACCTATAAAAACATAAAAGAAATCTGGCACAATGCAATTCTTCACTAGATATTTGGCTTTTAATTGAGATTATACACTGCAGCATTTCCAGTTTGTGTGAAATTGGCTGCTTTTTAACATTTTGACCTGAGAGCTCAGCCGAGAAGCAAGGCAGAGTCTCCAGCCTTGCAGAGGCTTGTAGCTCACGTAGAGAACACAATGATTCAGTTTCATGCAACCGAGAAGGCATTAAGGGTTCAGGAAAGGTCAGCCACAAAGATCGGAATCAAGCTCTGTGATCAAAAGCCTTCGGAGCAAAACAAGCAAAGATGACTGTGGTTAACACAAAAACAGAGCTTCGTTTGAAGTCATTTTTCAGAAAGCTCTCTGAAAGCTGTCATTTCATGTTAGTCCTGCTAAAAGAGCTTAATCGTCTCCAAAAGTTTTTTATTCAGCACACATTAGGTTAAATATTTTTGATTAAAATACATTTTCTCTAAGATGAATGAATTGTGCTTACTTTTGTTTTTTTGATATGGGTACTGTTTAACATGGAAAGCTTGAGCTAAAAGGAGGAGATTTATCGTATGTAGAGGATTTTTTTCCCTTCACACCTACATAACTTATGTTTACAAAATGTGATAAGAGTTGACATTTATGTTTTTTTTTAATTATCCACCCTTTAGCGGTGACCTATAATGTAATAGATAAATAATGCAGTTCCTGGCTGAGCAGGACCGCTCTCCATGAATCAAACACATAAGGAGAGCCCTTAAAAACACCCCAGGCACCCCATACTCCTGCAGCACCCCTTACAAAATACCATGGAAACATGGTCATAGGACTTCTCTCCAGATCCACACTGGAGAGCCAAACTCCCATGACCCCCTCAGCAACTCCACAAGAGTGAAGATCTGGTCCACTGTTCCACAACCAGAACAGATACACACTGCTCCTCCTTAATTTGACGTTCAACAATCAGCCTCCCTTCCAACACCCTGGGATAAACTTTCTGGGGAGGGCAAGAAGTGTGACCCCAGGATAGTTGGAACACACTCTCCAATTCAGTTTATTAAAAGTGGAAACCACCCACAGAGTCTGCCACTCTAGAGTCATTGTTCAAGTCCTCCATGCATCCATGTGTCAACCATGACAGCCCCTCAACAAGAAAAAATGCATTTAAAATATCTTAAAAGCTCTACTGCCCTAAGAGAAGGCAGTTACACTGAAACTTGTTGGAGGATTTTATTTTATTATTATTATTTTTACTCATCTAGATCAGTCGTTCTCAAACTAGGGTCCCCGGACCCCCAGGGGTCCACGAGCCAGTGCTTGGGTGTCCGCAATTTATTTTTTTTACAACCACATATATGTTTAACAACCTGTTAAAATAAACCAAAATGCAGGAAACTGCATCTACTTTATTTAAAAATTTCTGGGGGAGGACCCCCCCCAAACTCCCCACCCCCACCAGCCCGCCCGCTATTTGTGTTCCGGCATGGATCGGTTTACAAATTAAGCTCTGTTACTTGGTATGACTACTGCTGTTATGATTTTGTTCAGTTTTATGTAAAGAGTTTTTTGTAATAATATGAGAAGTGGCGATGCATGTATTATGTTCATTATGTAAATAGGTAAAGTTTTAAAGTGGTATTTGATGCTGTTAATTTTCTCAAAACTGTCATTTTTGGAAGTTGAAATTAAACATTTTGTTAATTAAGTGTGTCTTGAATGAAAAATACCCCATGTTTAAAAGTATAAAAATTGTATTAACATTATTAAAGAACAGGTCTTAAATATTTATGTTACACAAATATTTCCATTGCAAAGAGACAAATTGAAGAAAATTACTTAATAAACATTAGGGTTATGAGGGGGTCCCTAAAACTTTTTCTTCCCTGTAACGGTCCCTAAACCCAAAAAGTTTGAGAACCCCTGGTCTAGATGATTAAACATCTGGGAACTGTTCTTCATGACAATCTGGCCTTTGGCCTGTATGTAGACTCACAGGTATCTGTTGCCAAGATGAAGGACTAATAGACTGAAAAAACACTCATCCCTATAGCAGTCAGGATCCTTAATGAGCAGTTGGGATTATAGTATTGCTATTTTAGTGGTTTTCTTGTTGTTGTATATGAATGTCTTTTTTTTAATCTACTGACTATTTGTAAAACAAATTGCCCTTCTGTGATATTTAAGATTCTTGAAATTGATTATGCCAGCTGACATTCACCTTTGCTCTTCTCCCATTCAAAAACAACTCATTTGGACCCATATTTAATCCAGAAAACTCTCTTACACAGACGTTGTTTTAAATAAGATTATCTTAAGCTGCACTCAACCCACTTTAGGTGTTTTTGGACAAACACGGGTCACAGAGATTGACAGTTTGCAACCCGGTCACAGAAATCACCACCCAGGTACGAACATATGACCCTGATGTTGTTTATTTGAATAAGTACAGTATATTTGGGGCAGAACATAAATTAAAAATACTTTTTAAATTAAGAACAATGAAAACAGGAAATAGTCAATCATAAAAAGAGCAAAGGCACTGAAAAATACCTTTACAATACTGTAGTGAGAAATTTGGTCTTGAATGTACTATAGCAGGAAGAAAACTTTATTGATACAACAACGGTGCCTCCGTTTATTTCCCTTTTTATACTGTGCAACTCAACAAGTTCCCTTTTAAAATTCAACATTTTTGTTCCTTGAAGAAAATAGAGAAAGTGCTTCTATATATTGTAAGCCATAAATCAGTCAAAGCACACAGAGTAGAGTACAGCTGCCAATACATGTAATAGAAAATATAGTTTCTTCTTCTAAACATACTCATTGTACTTCACTTTACAAAACAGAATATATCATGGACTCAGTGACTCATAACAGCAAAATTAGTTAGAACTAAATATAAAAAGGTACACTGAATTACATGACTATTTAAGATTTATCAAAGCATCATTACTGAGCCATTCATCAGATAATGCTTTTATTTTTCTGCTTACATTAGGATTTTTATTTTACTTTTATTTACAGCTTTACATTGCAAGCTAAAATATAAAAATGAAAGAACCACGCTGATGACTTTTTTATTTTCACATGTGCTCATCTGGATAAATGAAGTGTCACCTCCTGTGGCTTTACTAGCAAGACTTTGTGGCAGACTGATCCCACCTCTGAAGAAACCCACTCCAGGTGATTCTTCAAGCAAACACTCACAGCATTTACCAAAGACAGTGATATCATTTTTTTTTTTTTTTGAATCTTCAGTCACTTTTATCAGGTTTTTCTTCATCACTGGTCCAGTTCCTGTCATAATGACAAGAAAAGGACCTCAAAGTTCAACCTGCCATGACTTCACTGTATTTCCTGAGAGTACTATAAGAACAGAGTACACACAAAGACACACATATCTTGTGTTTCAAGCCACATCCTTCATTCCACACAGCTCTCTTTGCTTCTGTCTGTGGTAAAGCAGCCAGATGGACTCAGAGGCTTTATGACAGACAGACATAGATTCCCTGTCTGGCTCTGAGTGTTATCCATTAAACACTCAATGCCAGGGCTCCAGTCAGAGAAAAAGGAAGTCCTAACTTGTGTTGTTTTACAGTTCTGGGGACCTCCTGTTCCTCTTCTTTTTGTCAGCTGCTCTTTTTTCCAGAGCAAGCAGATACACAATGACACATCCATCAGAGAGTGTGACGAAAACATGGCAGCCTGTTATGGAAGTGAATAAAGAGACCACTGCACAGAAGTCATTTTGTTCCACGCTGTGACAAATGTCAGAAAGGAATGTGTATAGAGAAAATAAGCAAGGAAGGAGATAAAATCTTGGAAAGCAATGTGGCACATTCAAAACATCACGCCTCAACAAGTATACCATTTTTATAAAGATGCTGACTCTCAGTTGTAGTCTCATGAGTGGTGTCTCTTTCAAACCTACGATTAGATTAAAAGATGAACTCAAATGTGAGGACAGAATAGAAGCTATGAAGAGTTAAGCATCACATACAAATGCAACACTTTCAAGTTGAAAGTCATATTTCATTTAGCACCGTGTTGTTTGATTTACAAGTAAAATACTGCTGAAGGACGCACCTCAAGGTAAACGCTAAAGTTTACGCAAAAAGTGTATGGATAATTACTGTGATCACATAATGCTCACAGTTCATTTTGGAGTGGCTACAGCAAAGACAGTAGTAACTTTGTTCTGCATTGATGGTCTCTAAAAAACAGGGTAATTTGCTCCAGTTGTGTTAATTGGCTCAACTCATTCTCTGTCCAGCTGACTGTCTTTTTTGCTCATATTTATCATTTCAATATGGACACTCTTTAACATGGCAGGAAGCTACAAGTGCTCAGCCTTCAGCAGGTCAGGACACCAATCTTATATCCTTTCTGTTCCTGTTCTCATTCATGTAAATTTTAGGAGCAGCCATGCCTCTCACACAGGTGTGGTCCTGCGGTTCACCCCATCCTTTAAATCATTTGGGAAACAGTTATGGACCTGGAGGAATTCGGCGCTGCTCTCGTGCTCCGGACTGTAAGTGTTCTCGGTCACACTGTCTCTTGCCAGGGCGTACATAGATAGCTCGTCCAGGGGCCCACTTGAGGATGGCACCCCCTTCAGACCGAGCACCGGTGAGTTCTCCCTAGAGGCCTCTGTGGAGTGAGAGCTGGCGTGCGATGTCCGTCGACGGTAGCGGAAGCTCGGTATCCTTGAATAAGGGGACGAGGAAGAGAGGGAACGAATAAACTCACGTCTCGCCTTCCAGCGGACTTCCTTGTTTTTCTCGATGTAGATGTTGATGACAAGAACAGCCACAGTTTCAGCCACAATGAAGGACAGAGCGCCAAAGTAGAAAGACCACCCGTAGGAGTAAGTGTACTTCTTGTCATCATCACGTTTGTCGTTGGGATCTCCAGCATTGCTTGAGATATAGACAATGATGCCAATTATGTTGCTAAGACCTGGTCAATAAGAAAGAAAGGAAGAGAAATGTGATATTTTGTAAAAGACAAGAGAGACATATGCCAAAAATCATTCATACATGACTTTTTAGTAAGAGTGATCAAACTCATGGACACACACCATTTAAAGTCAATTGTCAGCCAAAATTTCAGGTCTTCCATAACTTTTTGAAGCACTTAATGACTAATTTCCTCATTGTTCATAAGTGGGTCCTGTTAAAGGACGTTCTGACCTTCTTCTGGGAAGAATCAAGTTTGTCTTTCTGGCTGAACCTTTGATTAAGTACAGCGTGGGATCATGAGTGCTACATCAAGCCGACTTCTTCATTAGAAATCCCAGCCCACATGATTGTATGTCTCATCCATCTCACCTGCAGCTACAAAAAGAATGCCCGCACTGAGGAGGACATTGTTTGTCTTGTTGTTGACCCGGCCCACACCGACACACATGCCCCCGAGCATCAACAAGGTGGTACTGAGGATGGGGAACACGCTGGAGGCACGAACAATACCTGCAGAAAGATTGAGAGGACTCTAAGGATGATTTTAACACTAATTAATGGATAGTTTATTAGACTATGAGTCTCTTTAGCATTAATGTCCAAAACAGAACGATGCATCAGTCAACACATTGAAGTTTGTACATTAATTACGCAGCACACTTTACCATTTATTCAGTCCCACTATTTCATCTCTCCAGGCTAAATTTTGAAAACTCCATTATCATTTATTCTTTGAAGCCTTGTTGTGACAAAGCTTTGCTAATTAGCCGTGGGTTTCAACAAGAGCACTCACTGACTATCACCATCTGAAAATGACTCACCATTTTTACCTGTTCAAAGATGGATGGATCTATTTAGCTGTGTAGCTTTCATTAGAACCTCCTTTCATGTGTTTGTGCTAATAGACTAAACTTGAACTTCTTCCAAAATCTGGTATGACTTCTTGTTCATTGTTGTGTATTAGGAAAATACTGAATCAGCTGTCTTTCAAAAGTTTTTTTTATATACTGTATATAAAGAACATGTCCACAGAATGACCACAAAAAGAAAAAAAATTCTACTCCATGTTTTAAAATACTGAGTGTTCAGTTTGATTGCATCTTTACTTTTGCCATTATAATCACCTGCTGCCATTGAAGTCTGGTGATTATCAAACTGCCTGTGCATGTGTGTGGTAGTTTGTCTGTTAGCAAAATATTTCATGAATTTTTAGAAGATTAAAAATGAAACTTTTTGGAAATAATCATTGGATATACATCTACTGCTAATTAACTTTTGGAGTCAACCCAATTCAAGATGACCACCACAGCTTATAAACTATAACAAACACAAAAATGTTTATTATTTATCCAGTAAGTTTCACAGAAATTGAGCTAAAACTTTGTCTTGTAGTAGCTGAAGATTATCCTCAACAGTGCTAATGAATCACTACATGTGTATATATATATAT